AAAAGCAAGAAAAATATATTCCTTTTAGAAAAGAGAGAAATGTGATGCGGTTTGATAGAAGACGTATAGCACACTAGCGGAAAACATAGAAGGACGAGGAGAGAACCCGAGCCGAGAGGCATACTGGACGGAAAAAGTGAGGAAAGCACGCCGAGTAACTAAAGCAAATGCACGATAGCATACAAAGACACATGCACACACGAGTTTGCTAGTTGAACTTGTGAGTATCAGAAAAGACAAGAGAAGAACAGAACGGAGTGCAACAAGAATAGTACTACTGTGCGACGGCACACAAAAAAAAAGGAATATTTAATTAATATGATTGTAGCGTGGCATCAGATCATACGTCATTGTGTCTCCGGTCGTTCAGTTGTCCTCCGCCCATTTCTTCTTACTGAATGTTGAATTCACTAAAACGGTGGGTTCAAGATGTGGCGGTTGATCTCACTCCTCCACCACCACCACCATCGTCGTCGTCGACGTCTACATCGCCATCGTTTTTATCATCATCTTCTAAACAAGGATCAACACATCCTTATTTTCATTCAACGACATTTACAAATGACCGTTTATCAACACATTCATCATCATCATCAACTATGGGCCTCTCGAGACCAATATCAATGGATAGTGTTCGTAATTCAAAAATGATTAATACATCAATTCCACCACCACCTCTAGCATCACCTGCTGAACTCGATTTAAGTCATTTGAATCGAGAAGAACAAGAACATATTGCAAATGTATTAAAACGAGCTAGAGCTGTCGATGAACAACAATCACCAGTACCACCAGTTATTGTCCATTCAGCACAATCGCCACCGGCATCAATAGTTTCAGCATCATTATCGCCTTCAGCATCATCATCATCATCAACATCAACAAGTAGCTATAATAGTGAACAACCGGAAAAATATGAACAGAACGATAAATATGATAATATCGATGATAATGAAATGTAAGTAGATTATTTCTTGCATGTTTCACTAGATTTCATGTGAAGTAATTTCTTATAAACCCATCTTCTATACTTTCACACATCATCTACCTAAATACATTTTCTAATTAACAATGTAGTTTAACAAAAAACGATGTATGTCAAAACAAAACAATAACATAAAATAGTTTTGTTTTCCTTTTTATTTCAACATACTACATCTATTTCAAAACTTTTATTTTCTAGGCAGACTTTTAAAATCTCTGTATAAATGTTTATCTAACACGTAAATAATGACACGATAATGATGAAAAACAAAAAATTCTTTAGTTATGCAAATGTCAATTATAAAAGGATTGTATATAAATAATATTTGCTAAATTTCTTTTTCCTGTTTAGTTATCATCATGTGTTTTGTCCTTATGGAAGTTAGTAATAGTCAACATACTGACTTTTTTTTTTGAGAAATCATGCGAAAAATCTTTCACTCGATCCATCTTAAATGATTGAATATATATATATTAAATTTCATGATGGATGACTTATCTTAATATGCTCATTCTACATCTTTTTCTCATTAATAATAGAAGTAAAGATGAAGAACTTTCATCATCATTTTTGCCGGAATCAACTTTAATAGCTATTCACCGATGTCAAGTGTGTAACAAAGAGCAACAACAAAAAGGAAATACGATGATTTGCCTTCACTGTCAAGCCGACGACGAGATTGCTCGAGTTACACAAAACAATACCACTCCTGTAAGTCAAAAATGTCTATTTACAATACCATTCAATACTTCAAAAATCTTTTTATTTTATTAGCAAACGTCAATAAGACAATCATCATCTCCTATACCAATAAAATTATATGAGCATGAACAAGATAAGATCTATGATAATATAATGTGGATTGATCAGCAATTAATAAAACGAAATTCCCCTGTTGAAGAGAATACATCTCATAGAGTTCAGAATGATGCAGAAAAAATGAATAAAAATCAAGAGGAAAAAAAAGAAGAAAATGATGATGATGATGATTATGATGATGATGGTGGTGATGGCAGTAAAGAAAGAAAACAATTATGTCAATCATCAATTCTTCAATCCACACTTCCCGTGAAAATACAATCAAATAATCTAACAGAGATAGATGAAGATGATTTTTTTTATCAAGGACCCAGTCCTTATGTAACAGCAATTGATAATAATAATCAAATACTTGACAAAATCAAAGACCCATCATCAATACCGTCATATAAAATCGATGAATATATTGATGAAGATGATAATGATGAACGCGATCATGTTAAAGAATTAGAAGAAACGATAGCTAATCTATCTCGACATTTTCCTGTGTCATCACAACAACTTAATGATATTGAGATAAAACCAATAGTAACAAATTTACATCAACCATCAAGTTTATCTGTTGGTAAAATTGATATTGATTCAATACTTGAAATGGAAATTGAATCACCATCAACAGATGAACATTATATTCAATCATCTTCGTCGTCGTCGTCGTCTATTCGTCCTTCATCAGTATTAAATCAACATTCACACAACGTGCCAATTGCAGTACCAATAACATTTAATAGTCGACGAGCAAGTCTCAGTCGTTCATCCGGTGTACGAGAAAATTTAACTGATCTACTTAGTATAACAAAAGCAGCAGCTGCAGCAGCAGCAGCAGCAGCATCAACAACAACAATACCATTAGAATCTTATTATTCAGATAAACGATCATTACAGGGAACAACATCTAATTTCAGCAAGGTATTTTCTTAATTATATTTTCAATTTAAACACTAATATAATCCGGATAAGATGCTGAAATCTTGTTTACTTCTATTTACTCAAAATTGATGGATGTTTTCTATTTCTAGCAATTTTTAACAAAGATATGCTAAAATATTCATGCAATTATTAAGACTGCTTTAGGCGATCTCTTATTTCATTAAAAAAAAAACTACTTCCGCTCGAACAACCACCAGAAATTTTCTTTAATAAGAATTAATAAACATTAAGATTTGTTTTTTACATATATAAAAGCAAAACATTAGAACAAATATCATCTTTTCATTTAGCATATAATGCCTTTACATCGTCAAAAACGTAACTTACCATCTGTACCATCACCAATAACAAATCGTTTACAATTACGTCGAGCAAATTCAGAATCTCGATTTAGTCTTCCAGCTGTACCACCACCATCTATACTTATATCTAATAGTAATATTGATGATGAAAGTGATTTACTTGAAATAGATCTTAATGATCCAACGGGTTCAACCAGTCGAGCAGCACGATCAAAAACTGAATCTGAATTAAACAATAATAATAATAATATTACTACTAATAATAATAATAATAACAACAATATAAATACATTATCTTCAAGTAATCAATTGTCATCAATGAATGATTTAACTTTACCAAAAAAACAAATTAAACAATTACGAGATCAAACAACAAATACACCACCAATATCAAGTCTTACATCATCAATAAAACCTAAAAAGAAACTTAAGAAAAAAGGTTCAAATTCACCGAATCATACGAATGGTCATCTTATAAATTCAATGGAAAGTAATGAACAAATAACACCAATTATAGTGTCACCAACAAAAACAAATCCACCACCGTCAGTTTTATTATCGTCATCATCACCACCAACATTAACTACAAATCGTTTAAAATTACAAAAGGTTTATTATTCTTTTTTTTTTTACTTATTCTATTAATAATTATTCATTTATTTACTAGAGTACCAGTACAGAAATATTATATCCTTTTCCTGTATTAAAATTAATTTTAAGTCGTGATAATTTGAATCCATCACGACGAGGTATTACTCGTTTATTTTTTAATTAGTTTTTTCTCTATGTTTTATTTAGATGATGCTGATCTGGGTCTTCATATAACCGGTGGACATTCAATACCAAATTGTATGGAAGTAACAGCATGTATTGAACATGTTGATACTCATCATAAAAATTATAATATATTAAGAAATGCAGTGGAAGAAGGTAAATCATTCAATCAAAAATTGAGTAAATATATTTAAAAATGAAAGTTTTAGGTGATGAAGTTCTGGAAGTTGGTGGAGTGCCGTTACGTGGTAAAAGTGCATTATATGTTGAAAATTTAATGAATTCAATTCAAGATGAATTTGAAATTGTTATTCGAAGGTATATAGAACATATATGTAGGAAAATAATTCAAAGCGTATTTTATTTTAGTCAATATATTATACCACCTATATCGCCTGCAATTGAAATTTTTAAATCAGATAAAAATCATTCACATAATTCTACAAAAAATAACGTAACAGTTTCACCGAATTTATCATTAACAGTTGATTCAAATAATCAACGAAGACATTCAATGGATACATCACAATTTTCTCCGACTCATCTAACAAATAATACAGTTGTTAAATCTCAATCAACATTTATGTCACTACCAGTGGATGATGATTCGAATAATGTATCTGATCAATTACTTTCACCTAGTAATCATCGAAAGAAAAGTGTATCTTCAAAAGAACGTCTTTTCTCTGTTGAATCTCTTCATCGTTCACCATCAACTAAATCAATTGAACATTTAATGAAAGTAGCTACACAATCATATGATACAAAACCTGCCGTTGATAGATTTCATAGTTTACCACAAGGAGACCGGCGACATTCAATAAAACCTGATGAAAAACGATCGACACCATTAGTAAAACAAACATCATTAAGTGTTAATATTACACCGGAAAATGTAAATTACTCTAGAAAAAAAAAATTCTAAATAATGGACAAGAATTTGTTTTATTTGTTTTAGAAAATGACACATGACGATTCAATAAATCTAGCTCAACCATTACAACCACCTCGTAAATATGAACATCGTAATAGTTTATTACCGAATGATCCAGGTTTAAATCGAGCTGGTAGTAATAATAGTATTGATCGAAGAAATTCAAATGAATCTGATGAAAGTGATAATCTCTCACAATATTTTCTTTCATCTTCAAGTCGAAAAAATAGTTTAATGACAACAAATGAAATTTCTCATACTGAATCATCTCATGAACAAAATCAAAATATAATACCTACTGATAATGAAGTAGCAAAAGATGCATCACGTCGTTTACAAAATTTTATTAAGACAGCAGATGAAAAACAACAATCAAGAAATTCATTAGGTGATGAATCAATTAATTTTAAGAAAACAGATGTAAGAAAATTATCAACATCAGCATTAGGTTCATTCAAATTTGCAAAGAAACCAAAAGAGAATAATAATACTGAAATATCAACTCAAGTATGTACATAAAAATAATATAATCATAAATATTTGTTTTATTTTTTTAGTCAGTTGAATCACGTGAGAATGAATATGTTGGTGATATTGAATTACAAATCGGACATAATAGTGAACGTGAACAATTGGTTGTAAGAATAGTTCAAGCAAAAAATTTACCTGCTAAAGATACAAATGGTTTTTCTGATCCTTTTGTTAAAATTTATTTATTACCAGGAAGAGAGTAAGTTATCATGAAGTATGATATATATATAATTAGGAGTATTCTTTCAGTCAAAACATGTTTCATTAAATTAAATCTGTAAATAGGCTATTATAGGTGGGAAAAAAAAGTATGCTTATGAATATTTTGTCTAATGGGACATATGCAATTGATTAAATATTAGATTTGATAAAAAACATTCTTGACAGACGAATGCTCATAGTAATGACATAGAATTTATGGTAACATAAGGGCCAATGTGACTTGGATATTGAGAATAAGCTCGATAAATTGTTGATAATCATGCATGTTCCCATTAAAAATGACTAATCAATATTGATAAATAAGAAAATTTCCCTTGTGAATCATGATTTTGTAGTAAAATATATTATAAATCATATAAAATAAAGTCAGTCTCAAGTGGAATAATCAATAAATCTGGCACCTATCGTTCGCACTGATTAGACCAAGAGTGTTTAATAATTATTTCAGTTTTAATACAAAATAAATCTGACAAAGCCCCCTCTAGACTAGACTAATACAAATATATGTTAATATAATTTCCTTTTTCAGTCAAGAAAATAAACGTCGAACAAAACATATCTCAAAAAATTTGAATCCTGTATGGGATCATACTGTTATTTATGGTAATATGCATCGAGAAGAATTACAATATAAAATGCTTGAATTTACTCTTTGGGATTATGATCGTTTTAAAGCCAATGATTTTATTGGACAAATAACAATTGATTTAAAAGGTAATGAAAATTGTAAAATAGAAGAGGATTTTTTCTATTTCCCTTAAACTTCAGATGCCAAAGTTATTGACGATAAACCACATTGGTATCGTTTACAAGCATTACGTTCACGTGAAGAAGCAACAAATCGTGGTTCATCACCACGTTTATCTAAAATGACATCAGTCGATTCAACAGTTTCATCATCATCATCAATCGCAAATAAAAATAATGTTAATGTACAATCGAAGGGTAGTATACGGAAATAATCACAAAATTTTTATTATTATTATTATTATTTTTTTGTTTTCTTGTTTTTACTATTTTTCTATTTCTATTTATGTATATTATTTTATTCAGATATGAACATTGAAATGTATGTCTAATTTTATTTAAAAAAAACAAGAAAAAAAACCAATGTTTGTTTTCCCTCTTTTTATATATGATAAATCAATATTCATAAAAAAAATCTTGTTACACATCTTCTTCAATAATTTTTAATAAATAAAAGCAAATGTAATAAATGTCTTTATTATAATTACAATATATATTTCTATTAAGAAAAGATAATACACATTGATAGTGTTGTTCTATCTATTTTTGATAACCTCTGTGTTCTTAAATTTGATAAATAGTTTTACTTTTATCAACATTTATCTTTTTACATATATCACAATATATTCATTATTAGCACTTTGAAAACTTTTTAATGATATAATTATCTATGCTAAGATATTTAATATGATCTCCATATATATATATGAATACTTTTTCTTTACCTGTAAATCGATATTTTTATCAGCCATGAAGTTTACTTTGATTATATCATCTGATACATTATTTTATGAGAATGTAACATATGACCTTATTAGAATTTTTGACAACATCAGTCGATATCATTTTATTAACTACTGACCTATGTTTCATTTATTTTATTGTATATTTTAACCTTTGAAAAATAGTATATACGCATTTTTATGCTATACAGTAGAAAATATACTACAACATTCTTTACATTCCAGATGTCAGTAATATACAGTTGATTATTCAAGGATTAAAAAAATTTTATTATCTTTTTATCGATTGTTTAGATTAATAAATCTAATAATATATATTTATATTCAAATCATTTGAATATTTCGAAATTTTACATTGAAATTTCCATCAAATCGATCATTATAGACAAATGAATCATCGAGGTAGTTATTATTGACGAAATTGAATACCTATCAATATTTAATGTTTTTTTTTTCTAGGACACGTGATATATTATTTCGTTAATCAAAATTGTTCAAAATTATTCGTTATGTTTAGTTGAAATTTATTTTTATTTATTTATTTCATCACAATTTTTGAAAATATTCGACGAAAGAATATTTTCGATTGATTTTTTTTTCGTTTTTCTCAATATTATATTTATTATTATCGAATGTCCCTTTGCCGTCGACCTATACGACGAATAGCGTTAGCAGCAAAAACTGGTTCATTTATTAATAAAACAATACGAGAAAGTTTTAGTCAACAAAATATCTATACACAATTAGAACAAACTCATCTCGTAAGTCAAAGTAAACGTTCATTTGCTTATTTCACGTGTGTAATCTATAATGACCTTGATGAAATAATGATAGATACAAAACATATGTTATGTTCGTGTATACATGCATGGTCAACATACTTAAATTCTCACATATATTTATGTGATTCTTCTTTTGTCAAATTTTCTCTTATCCTCGTTGAATATGTCATTATTGTTTTTAGAGAAGTTAATAAGAATAAAATAATGATGAGCGATCTTTTATTGACGACATCATCGTCTTCTCAGAAAAAACACTTCTCCCGACATGATACTATGAGAAGTTCAGAGAAACAAGTAAGATAAGTTCTATGATGAAATATTGATTATTTTTTCTGGTGAAAAATAAGGTGAATTTCTAATGCTTTCATGCTATGCTTGACATATTTGCTCTTACCTTCCTAAATAATTATTAGTGCTTACATATATAATTGAGTTGAAGGAAGAATTATATAGATGAAATTGGATGTAGTGAATATACTATTCATTTGAGTATTAAAAATCACTTTTGTAATTCGTTTCTGGTCTTTATATTGAAAGACATCCACGATGAATATACCCACAACTTAAAAACCTACTTGAAGAATATATTCTATGGTAATGAAAGTGTTTGAGTACTGCTGATAAAGAAAAAAGAAGTTTTTTTTATCTTTCAACTCTCGAAAGAAAATATATACGATAAATAATGACGTCAAATGACTGTTATTATCATTTTTATTGAGAAATTAGCTAAAAACTTATCTGTTACATATATAATATATATTTAATCTATCCTATTAATATATTACTCTAATAAATGCATGTCAACTTACCAGAATTCGACAGTGAGTCCTATACTTTGAAATCAAATCCATCATCTCCTAGATCACGCCCTTCAATTACATTACCTGTTTATCGATCATGGTCGCCTCATAGTCGTCGTCGTCATTCATCAGTCGGGGACAGCATTATACCAAGTTCTATAGATAGTCGCCCAGTTGTAAATAAATTGGTATTAGATATTCGCAAATCGCTCTTTAAAAATAATAATATACCCAAGCCATCTAATGAACAAACACATACTAACGAGGTATATTGTCATGCATGTTTTATTTTACATATTAAACATTTTATTTAATTATTAATACGAGCCAATATATATATAATCATTTTCATAGAATACTCAAAAACCTCAATGTATTGGTGAAGAACGACAAGATAATGCTATATATAAAGTTTATTTAAAACGAGTTCGACATAAATCATCATCACTTCTTAGTTCATCGTCAACAATCAATACACTTGCTGATGACAAAAATGAAGATGTATGAAACTTCTTTTTTACCGAGATTAAAAAAAAACTTTACTTTCGATTTTTCTATAGAATAAAACAACCGGTGATACACAAACTAATGATCAAGGAACGTTACTATATTCAACAATAAAAGTTTATCAATTAAAAGCCGGTACACTTGAAAAAATTGTTGAATGTTTAACAAATGATCAAGGCGAATTAGACACAACACATATGTACATTTTATTTTCTACTTATCGAACATTTACAAATACTCGAACATTAATTGATACATTAATTCAACGTTATCGAACAGTTCTACCGGCTTCACTTGATATGACTGAAGATATTCGACAAAAAACTCTTAAGTATGACACTATTATTTCTTTTTTATTAGATTTTTTTCTTTTATTTCCTATTAGTCAGATTCAAATCGAGTATGAGTATGAATATAAATATCTATCTATGTCATTTCTATGCTTATCCTTTCGTTTTTGTGCTTAATTTTATTTTACAAAATGTTCGAAAATGGAAAAAAAATATTCTTTTTCTATTATTTTAATATATTATTTAATTTATATTTTTACATAGAAATCTTCGTTTGGCAACTACCTGTTTATTAAGTTCATATAAAGAAGATTTTTGTGAGCCACCATGTTATCCAACATTAAATTATTTACTAAAACATTTACCTGATAAAGACATACAAAAACAAGGTGAAATATTATTAGAACAGTTAAAAAATAATGAAGAAGATCTTACATCAGATGTTGATAATAATAATAATAAACCAAAAAGAACTTATCTATCTCAACAAAAAGGTTTTGATTATTTATTACCATGGAATTTTCTTGACATGTCAAGTACAACAGTTGCTGAACAATTAACTATTGTTGATGCAGTATGTTTGAATTGAATTTGTTATTTTCTTAACTATAACATTTTAGGATTTATTAAAATCTGTTTTAACATATGAATGTTTAACTATATCGACAAATGGTTGTTCTCGTCGTACAGCATCAAATAATTCAAATCGTTTATTATCAACTGTTGATAAAACAATTGAATATTTTAATGCTGTTGTTGCTCGTGTTGTAGCAACAATACTTAAACAACAAGATGAAAAAACACGAGCTAATGTTATTGAAAAATGGATTGATATTGCACATCAATGTCGAAAATTAAAAAATTTTTCATCATTAACAGCTATTCTAAATGGACTTTTATCGGGTTGTATATATCGTTTAAGTAAAGCTTGGTCTTATGTAACAGAAGATTATTGGACAATATTAGAAGAATTAAAAAATGTTTTTGGTAGTTGTGCTGATAGAAAACAAGCAAGAGCTATTTTGGATAAGGTAAGTTTAATCATCTATCTATATATATATAAAGAATAGTTTGATTTATTCTTGTAAAATTTCATGATATATATATGTTAGAATACTAAAATATATTCTTGCAGCAATTAGATGAACTTCGTCTCGCCCTACCAGAGTGCATTGTAGGTTTGAATGTTTTGTATTTTTATATTTTTTTTTGCACAATCATATATATTTGTTTGCTTATGCACATATAATCTTTATATTGTTTTTTGTTTTAAATACTAAGAATTGGTTGAATGATAGCATGCATGATAAATATTTCTGTTTTTGTAATTTGCTATGATTTCATAATATATATTTTATATATGAACATTAATTGATTTGAAATATATTATTTAGGAAGGTACAGCGAAATATGTTGATTCAACAACAATGAGTACGACATTGGGAAGAAAATTTCGTCATAAATCAACACGTGATCATCATAAATCAGTATGTTTTATAATGATTCGATACAATGGATTGATGTTTGTTTTTTTTGTGTATAGACAATGATTGGTACTGTACCGTACTTAGGTATATATCTTAGTGATTTAACATACATCGATTCTGCTTATCCTAATACAATCGACAACGAAACAAATAACGATTTAATAACTCTTTCGGAAAAATTAATTAATTTCGAAAAACATCGAAAACAATTTGAAATTTTAGCTCAAATTAAATTATTTCAATCAGCTGCTAATGCATATGTAACTCTTCATCCATTACCACGTTTTAAAGCTTGGTTTGATAGCGTGAGAACTTATACTGATACTGAAAGGTTACTTATTTATTTTTCATATAAGTGATCATATTATTTTTTTTTGTTTCTTTTAGTTGGGATTTATCTTATCAAATAGAACCAAAAGAAGTCAGTGATAATCATCAAAATCAAGAACAATTTTTAAAAGCACACCGAAATCAGCCATTAAAAGCGTATGTTATTTATTATTTTTAAATTAAGACTAAACTTTCCTATTGAATATTTAGTCTTTTCCCACGATATCCATCTCAAGTATCATTAGATTCATTAGGAACATCGAATCATACTAATAATGGACATACAGACTCAACAATAATATCAAATGGTTCAATAAGATCTTCACCGTCATCGGCATCACTCGATAAAATGAGTATATTATCAAGTAATTCTCTACAGCAACATCAACAATCTAGAAAAGAATCAGTAAATTAAAAATCTTTTTTGTTTTCAATATATTTTCTAAATAATGCATTGATTATTGTAGATTACTCATACAAATCAGTCACGATCATCATCTGTTTCTAGTTTACTAACCTCATCAAATGGTAGTTCAAGTCAAGGTTATATTTCAGCAACAGCTTCACCAACTATTAGTACTGGAAATTTTACGATAACTTCAACTGAAAATGAAACAGTTATTGCTAAAGTAAAATTTGCTGGCAAAGATGAACTATTATATAAAAAAGTTCGAGTAAGTAATCAAATGAGTTATGTATATTTACTAGAATAAACTGATTAATCATAACGCATCGTAAGACATGAGATGTCAAATGAATGAATATTTTTTTGACAAATATTTAAACATTGAATAAATATAGTATAAATAAAGCGGAAAGTCTATTAATCAACGAGAAAATATTCTTATACCATATGACATTTGTAGTCGAGTGCAAAACGTATCTATCTAACATATTAGATTCGTATTCATGCGTTAAAATAAGTATACCACCGGAAATTACCTGTATTTCTCGGAAATATGTATTTAGTTGATGAAAAGATTTTCTTTCTTTTTTTGAGCTAGAAAAAATTAATCGAAATCTATTTTTAGATAAAAAATGATGAACGTACAACTAGTGTTTTAAAAACAATTCTTGATAAATTTGGTTTTGATCCAACAACTTATGATCGATATTGTATCGAACAAATATTACCTGATCGAAGTAAATATTTTCTTTTGGATTTTTTTTGAAAAAACTTATTTATTTTATTATATAGAAATTCTTTTACTTGATCATTGTAATGTATTTTATGCTCTTGCTCGTTCGTCAGATGATGAACAAGTTGAATTAATCGTTCGAGAAAAAACTCGACATGAACGTGAACAAAAAAGTAATTGTCTACCTATTGGTGCTGGACATAATCGAACACCGAGTGGATTAAGTATATCTTCTACTCATAGTCGTTAAAGCAAAAATAAATATATATATATTATTATTTATGTATATAAAAATATTTCCTTCTCTCTCTCCTCTTTCTCTTTTTTTTTCATTTATTTACAGTGAATCTTTAACATAATATGTGTTTAAAATTATTTTTTATTCGCTTTGTCGAATCTCTTTTCTTTGTCTCTGTCTCTCTCTCTCTCTCGATTTCATACCGATAATACTTTCATTCCATATTTTGTGAACAAATAGAAAGCTACTTTTTATTTCTATATCTGTATGTGTATGATTTTATCTATTGAATATATATTTCTTTTTATGAGGGCTAATATACACTGTTATTTTTTTCTTTTTTTGTCTTTTTCTTTTTTTTTAATCTATGTAATGTGTTTATTTGAAAGAAAAAGAAAAAAAAGAAAAAGAAAAAGAAGAAGAAGAAGATTTTTAATAATCTATTCGTTTTGTTGAAATATGAAAAGAAGGCAAGGGGGGACGAATGGCAATTACAGATTAGTGTGACATATGAAATAAATAAAGAAAGAAAAAGAAAGAAGAAGAAGAAAAAGAACAAGCACTCTAATCTTGTTGATCTGTCAGTTTTATTTATAGTAAGAGATAAAAAGACATTTAACATTCAGAGTTGTGTTCCTAGTATTTGTGGTACGCAATTTTTTTCAAAAAGAAGAAGAGAACAACAACAATAAAGCAATAATAAATATTATATTAATTCAACATGTATGTAAATTAATCAAAATAATATATGACGAAATGTTTTTCTTTAACATAGATAATTCAGAATACTATCTTATAGTACTCAGTTAATCATCAAATATGCTGTTTTATTTAAGAGCATGCAAAATAGCTTATATACATAATGATATATTTTTTATGATTTATGATAGTCAATAATAGTTTAATCGATAAGAGCATTATTTGTTATGGAATTGTCTATTTCATTTCATGTTTTCACCTTTACCCTCAAACATACCATCAGGCACCACAATTAGATTATTCTTTGCATGACTTATCAACATGATATTACATGTATAGTAAGACTATTACCGGTACAATAGTGTAAATAATATATATATAAAGTTTTCCTTTTTGCATATATTAATAAAAATAAGTAAATACCATGATCATCACGTAAGTTCTTTGACATCCTCATAGTTTTTGATTTTTTGCGTTCGTATCAATAACATTAATCTCTAGAGAGATAAAAAGCTTAGTTATTTCTTTTTTGTGTGAATCATTAGAACTAATCTTTAATATTGTTTTCAATATACTCATTTAGATCCAATAAAATATGTCTGATAGTAAGCATAGACATAAATCTGTATTAAAAAAAACTGATGAAGAATTATTAACTGATGATTTAACTCATCAATTAGCGCTTCATACACGGCAAGGTCATAATAAATTTTTATCCGAATCAATAATTCCATTAATGTTATGTTTTGCATGTCCATTTTTTGTTCGATCAATTGTTTTTATATGTGATCATTGTCATGGTTCAATACATGAATTTTTACAACGTCTTCTATTCGATCATACATTAACATTAAAAGATGTATTAGAAAATTTCTTTTTCTTTAAATGGCATTGGCCATCAGCTATAATTATTATAGGTTTTTTAATTTATGCGATTATTATGACTATGTTATTACCTGGTGATGAATATCAAGGTCCAATAACTGATACAGGACATATACCAATTTATCGAAATAATGGTTTTTGTTATTATATTGTTTCATTAATTATATTTACTATATTAACAGTTGTATTAAAATTAAATAACCTTTCTCCTACATATATTTACGATCAATGGGATGCATTTCTATCAACTGTTAGTACATTTGCTTTTCTATTATGTTTTTGTGTTATGATTAAAGGTAAATATATGCCATCAACAAATGATCATCGATCGTCATCAAATTGGTTAACAGATTTTTATCGTGGAGTCGAACTTTACCCAAGAATATTTAATATAGATGTTAAACTTATTACAAATTGTCGATATGGAATGTTATCATGGGCACTTTTATCTGTTATATTTTGTATGAAAACATTTGAACTTTATGGTTATACAGATAGTGCCTTAATTACATGTATTTTAACACTTGTTTATTTAACAAAATTTTTTTGGTGGGAATCAGGTTTGTTTTCTTCTTTTTCTTATTCAAATTTTCTTATGAATACATTTATAGGTTATATGAAAACAATTGATATTATTGTTGATCGTGCTGGTTTTTATTTATGTTGGGGTTGTCTTGTATGGGTTTCTGGTATTTATACTCTACCATCTTATTTTCTTGTTACACATCCTAAACAACTTGGTTTTCAATTAACAATATTGATACTTACATTAGGTCTTCTTTCAATATATATTAATTATGATTGTGATCGACAAAAAATTCAGGTTCGATCTACACATGGAAAATGTTTAATATGGGGTAAACCAGCTAAAATTATTCGAGCTAAATATCGTTTATTAAACGGAAAAGAATCTGAAAGTATTTTACTTGCATCTGGTTATTGGGTTTTATCACGACATTTTCATTATATACCTGAATTAGCATTAGCTTTTCTTTGGACATGTCCATGTGGTTTTCAATATATTCTACCGTATTTTTATGTCATTATTTTATTTATTTTATTAATGCATCGTGCACATCGTGATGATCAAAGATGTCGATTAAAGTATGGTGATTCATGGATAAAATATTGTGATTTAACACCATGGAAAGTATGGCCTAAACTTTATTAATATGAAAAACAAAAAAGAAACAATGAATGATAGTTTAATTTTTCTTTAATTTTATTTCTTTGTAAATCTAGCAAAATGAATGAAAAAAAATATGATTGTATGAACAAATTATATATATATGATTACAATCATATTTTATTATATTTAAAAAATAGATGCCTTGATATTATAAAAGAAAATTGTATAGTTGTTGATCTAATTTTCTATCACAGTTAGATATTATTCTATATGTTGTCGTGTACGATAAACATCTAGTTGATTTAATTCTTCACCACTAATTTTACATTTTAAAGGATTTGGTGGAACTGGTAATGATAAGGATAATGGAGATCGTAAACGTGCTAAATCAGTATGTACAATAAAGAGTCGATTTTTTAAACGATTATAAAGCGATATATCAAATGAATGACGACGAGCTTCACTATAGAATCTCCTTAAAAATAGACGATCAGTCATTGTCATATATTCAAAATCAGCTCGCGTCATTAAATGAAATGCATAAAATCCCATAGCAGTACCATAAGCAATAAAATATGAAATAGGCTCAACAATATCCCATGAGTAAACATCCCATGTGAGTTCAGCTAGAATACCAACTTGAAATGACATTGCTCCTAATCCATACCATATGCACCGAGACGTATGACGTTGACATATTTTAGCTAATATATCTTTAACCTAAAAAAATAAACCGAATGAAAATTTTTTGTTCTTAATTTTATACTATCGATTACTTAATGAAAACATCTCATTTAAATAACTATCACATTTTTAATTCTTATATTACAACTTAATAAAATATTCGACATGAATTATACAAAAATTCTTCTCATCGATCAAATAATGAGTTGCATATATAATGATTTCTATCTATTTCCATTGCTTAATAATGAAACTTGATTATTCTAAGTGTCAAAAATGACATAATTTGTAATTTAATAACTTAATACAAAAAAAATCAAATTATTTACTTACTTTTTCTAATGGTTCTAATTGTGTTGTTAATTCATTTGCTTCAATTTTTAATTCAGAATATTTCTTATGATAAACTTTCATAATATTCAATGCTTGATAAAGTGCTACAATTGTATCTTCAGTTGATGGGCCATCCGTTTTAGTTGATCTTACAGTATTTTCTTTAATTTGTAAATTATTAATTGGATCAAAAAGAAATGCACGTTGTTGATTGAGTTGTACAGTAAAAGGAGATTTCATAATTGATTTCATTGAATATGATTTCGATAATAATTGACCATGATCATCAAAAACATGAACATGTTCAATACCAGCATCTTCAATTTTAATTTCATCAACAAGTTGACCTACAGTTGCTGTTTCTAAATTAAGATGAAATCGACATGTTTCTTGACGTGATGGTAATACCAATGATAATATAAGAACACTATCAGCATACGATAATGATGATTCTAATGTAAATTACATATTTTTTTTTCGATAAAATTTTTTTTTATTATTTACCTAATGGAATCGATGATTTAGCTACAACTGATAATGTTCGAAATGTTGTCTTTGAGACCGATGTAGAAATATTAATAAAGGAACGAAAAAATGAAGTAAGATACATTTTTTTCTATTGTAATAATAATCAATTTAGGATGTAGAACATATTATCCGAAATAATTTTCTATAACGATAAAAGAGTTGATTATAATCTATGACTATCATGCACTCTATCATGTACTTGTTCTACATTAACGAATAAACATCATTGGTATGGTTGTAATGATATTTCATATTTACGTGTCACAAGAAAATATGGTTTTTGTTTGAATGAGATTCTTCTTCTTTTTTTCTCTTCTTTCCTTTGCTTACATTCGTCGTCTCAGTCCGTTCGTAGGCGAGTAATAATAATAATAGTTGAGAGGGAGGTGTAAGCACATGCTTAAACTCACAGAACAGCAAACAAAAAAAAAGAAGAAAAAGAAAACCTTGTCCCGTTTTTTTTGCTCTTCCTCATAAGTTGTGCGTAGACACGACTGATATAAATTAGTTTTTCGCTTTAAATGATGATAGCAATTGATGCATAGAGACGAACCAACTTTTGTGTCACATACATCATTTGCGCCGTCTTGTATCTTTCGACATAAATTGATGCTCTACCCGGCAACAGTTGTCTTTGTTTATTAGGATATTATATGTAAGAAAAATAATGTCTCGATTTTTTTCATATCCTCCGGAATAGATTAACCTAGAAGATAACAGAAAAAAATACGAAAGTAAACGTATATTTACATTCACGACATCTACTAAAATAGAAAAACCATACAGGCTATTATCTTATCTTGAAATGTTATTAAATAAAAGTCTAAAGTTTGCCTATTGATGGCATGATATATTTTATATAAACACCAATCAGCTCCTTATATATATATGAAAGGATGTTTAGCGAAAATAAGAACTTGATTAAGGTCATTGTTATATGTATGTAAGAGTTTGTTTCACAGTTGGAATTCTATATATTTGACATAATGATTCTATTTGTGCCGAATAAAAAACATATAAAATAAATTAACCAAAAGGATTTGTATTATATTGAATTTGTGACTCCATTTCAATCATTGGCAAGGACAATCGAAGAATTTTTTTATTGATCTTGATTATAAGATTAATTTTCTCATATTCTATGTCTCTCCCATACGACATTCGATTTCAATCAATAAATGCAATTTGCATGTATGTTTCCGCATAGAAAATGATTATTTCTATCGAGTTGCATGCTTTTATTATTATGCAAAATATGGTAAATGTCAAAAATAAGATCCAAAAACATAGATCAAAATTCATTCATATTTACTGAAATGTATCTGTACTCAACCACTCGTGTTTCACATATTGTTCTTATTTATATGATCAAAGTATATTTTTCATATGCTATGAGCATTTTTCATCTAGCTAAATTCTATTGATTATTCTGGCAATAGCATGATAATTTCTCATGAGACTTAGAGAGAGAAAAAAGAAATTCTTATTGTGTGTTTTACCATTAAATACATTATATTATGAAACTGTATTCATATTAATGAATAAACGATTTATTTTATCACTATATATATATACATAGACAGAGATAGATTTAAGATAAATGTCAAAATGAATACAAAATAAAAGAAAACGAAGAAGATCAGTCTAGATTAGATAATGATTCATCGCCCATTTGTTGTTGATTTGAATTCATCATTGAATTATTCTCATGTGTTTGATCGAAATTATCCATACCTGATGAACTTGAACCAGGTACAATTGTATATGGTAAAAGTGCGTTATTTGTTGGATGACTACTTGTATCAATGACTAATTGTGCCTAATATAATTGGAAAAAACAAACAAATATTTATTTTTTTGTCTTGTAAATAAAAAAACAAAAGATTTATATACTTGTGGTGATGAATCATCATCATTATCATCGTACATGCCAGGTGGTGTTGTTGTACGAGGTGGTGGTTGAGGTGCTGCAAAATTTATACCAGATCGTTGTTCATTTAAACCAGGTAATTCAGATGAAGGCATATAAAGCATATCTGATCCTGAATTTTCATTGGATGGTGGTTTTTTGAGAATTGATCGTGGTTGTTGAGAAAAATTTGATAATGATGGATGATTATTTGTAAGTGCTGCTACATTTGGTGGTGTAACAGGTGTTCTTCCACGTGGTCCTTGTTGCTGTTGTTGTTGTTGTGACCATGCAGGACGTGGTCGATTTTGATGAAAACGTGATGGTTGTTGAGTCGGTGGTGATTGCCAACTACCGATTTGTGATGATGATGATGATGGTGGTGGTGGTGGTGGTGGTGATGGACGAATACCTAAAAATAATTTGTATTGGTTTGAAGATTACTATTATTATTATAATTATTAGGATTATTACTTGGTGTTGGTAATAATGGAGTCTTTGATAGATTAAGAGTTGAATCTAAAAAAAAGATGAGTTGAGCTATACTTTGTGTAATTAGAATAAAAAAAATAACATACTATTATTATTATTATTATTATTGTTATTATTATTAGGAATAAGACCAGGTTCAGTCTTTGGTTTTGCAGTTACTTCTTGTGCTGATGATTTTCTTGGAATACGAAATAATGAAGTTACAGATGATTGTTGTTGTATTGGATTATTGATTGTTCCAGTTGATGGACTTGTAAGTTTAGATGCAAGAAGAGGTGGAGATGTTACATGTGGTTTATTTGTATTTGCTGCCGATGGCATTGATCGAGCACGATGTTTAATTGCTTCTTTAATTGAAGATGGAATAGTATTTGACGTCATTGGTGCTGATGTTACTGTTGTTGTTGATGATGAAGATGATTGATCTTGTCCAGGATAAACTTTACTTCGTTGAATTTTTAAAACAATCGGTGGTTGAGGTGGAACTGATCGTGGTTGAGATGTTGCTGCTGAAAGAGATGTTGATGGATTTGATAGAGATGATGATGGACGTGGTCGTTCACTAAAATATCAAATAAAGAATTTTGAAACATAGTTAAAAAAAGATGTCTATATTACCGCGGTGATTGCTGTATACCATCACCCATTGTCATCATTGAGTTTGGATCTGTATTCAATTGTGACATATCCATACTTTCACTTTTAATCAAAACAGATGGTGATGATCCACCTGCTGAATTATTACTTGGTAATTTTCTCATAGTTGCTGGTAGACCTCCAGCAGCATTTGCTAGTTGTTGCTGTTTTTTTCGTTGTTTCATAGTTTGTTGTTGTTGAGCTTCATCATTTGATGAATTTCCACTATCACCAACACGTTTAATAACAACTTTTAATGGTTTTAATTCATTTGATGTATCATCTGGTGATGTAACTGATTGTTGAGAAAGTAAAGTCGTTGTTGGTGAATCAGTTACTTTAAATGCGGATTTTTGTCGAACAAGTTGTTGTGCTTGTTGTTGAGCATTTTTATCCATTGGTTTTTTACCTCGTTTTACACTAGTTGGATCACCTCCAGATGATGTTAATTTTGTTGCATGCATTGGTGATCGATTATCTAAATAGAGAGAAACACATGTAATAATAATAAATGCAATTTTTTGTCTTTTATTTGATCAATTAACTAATTAAAAATATTTTATTATAATTCTTACCATTAGGATTATTATTTAATGCTGCTATAAAATCATCATTTGATTGTTCTGATCTACGTCGTTTCTTTTTTTGTGATACTTTATTATTTGTATCTGTTGGTAACATAAGATTCAATGATGTTGTTGGATTTGCTGGTAAGAAAGCTAATGGATCAAATGTTCCCATTGTAATTGGTGAAGTAACTGGACTATATTCTGGTACAGATACTTGTTTACCTAATGGAAAAAATATATTTCCATTTGGATTCGTTGTTGCACCTGGATAAGGTGTTGATGGTGATAAACCAAATATTGGTGGTGTTGAAACAGATTGTGTTGATGAAACTGATCCACAACGACTTAATACAGATGAATGAAAACTTAATGATGGTTTTGGTAATAATAGTTGATGCAAATGTTGTTGATTCGGTTGTTGTTGTTGCTGTTGCTGTTGCTGTTGAGGTGATGGCATAAATGCATCATCATCATCAGGAAAATCATCATTTGTTATATTTTGATTAATATCATCATCGATTAATTGGTCATCATCAATTTTTTCTTGAATTTGTTCTGTTGTTGTTAATGTTAAACATGCTGGTTGATTTCGACGAAGTGTTGTTGCTCGTCTCCATGTTGGTTTAGCAGGTGGACCACATGATAAACGTCGATTAAATTTTGGAAGATTTATGGAAGGATTCGATTCTTGTTGTAATTGATTGGTTTGTTTAGAATCAATATTTGTTGATAATAAATATTGATTTGTATTATCTTCTTTAAGAAGTTTTTCAATTAATTTTAATAATGAATCTTTATCATTTGTTAAATAAATTTCTTTTTGTTGTTGTCGATTAATTAATAATGGTAATGTATTTATATTTGACATTTGAAGTAAAAATGTTGATAAATTATATGTTTGTGCACATGTTATTGATAGAATTGTTGAAGATAAAAATGATAATTCAAGTGATATATCATTATTATCATCATCCATATGTTGTTCATGATCATAATCATTATTAAAATAATAATTTAATGATTTTGTTAAATAAATTTGTTGATGAATTAAATTTAAAATATTTATAAGTTGTTTTATATTTGTAAATGGAATTTGACGAATTGATATTGCTAATTGATCATGTGATATATACCATTGATATTGATGAAGTAATTTTGTTTTTGGTAATATGCTTGAGAGATAATTAAATGGTTTTGAATTTGAAAGAAATGAATTTATAGTTGTTAAACGATTGATTTCTTGAGCATAATTTACAAGGAATGTAAATGGTGAATGATCTGAATCAAATTCAAGAGCAAAATGACCTGTAGCTACAAGATTAGATTTTGATGATGATTCTAAATGAATTGTATTTGTTTTTTCATCAATATGTATACTAGATTTCATTGGTAAAGAATGTTGAGTTGTACTTGGAATTAATATTATACGAACATTATTTGGTAATGAAGAATTATTAGAATCTAAATAAGAATAATATTTATATAAGAGAACAATAGTAAAATTAAAGAAGTCAGTATATTTAATACAGATAAAGAAATCGGATTTATCCTTTTTCGTCCTCGCTCTGTCAGACATCCGGTCGAATAACCGGATATTCAAAATCGGGAAAAGAACATAAAATCGTTTTACTGATGTCCGAAATATAAAATGTATTTTCTTGCAAAAATCGACCATTCACTCATACGTACATCCGTCGTTTTCATTCCGAACATCGGTCAACTTTTTACTCTGAACACCCGTCATTTTATGTTCCGACCATCCTATACTTTTCGTTGCGGACACCTTTACGATTTTCATCCCAGACATCCGGTCTTTTTCATTCCGAACTTTGAAAGCAACTGGAGTTCGGAACAAATTTTTCCGTCCAATGTCCGAAAAAAACGCAAGGACGAAAAGGGACTACCCCAAAGAAATCAATAGCATCGGCTCTTGCTACGACCATTATCGTCTCACTTCAATTATATTTTATTGATTCAAACGATTTCGATTAATAATAGCTTCATCTCGACCTCTAATACTTTATAACCGAGCTTTTATTAGTAGATAAGGCACATTCATTTTGGCTGACTCTGAATAATTTTAAATGAGTGTTAAACAAATAAAAACTTACGTTGATCATTAAAACTAATTCTCATTGGTAATCCTTCAGACATTGATTGAAAACCTTCTAATAATTTTCCATACGTTTCTGTTTTAGCTAAACGTTCTAAATCTTGTTGCAGAATTTTATAGGCTGTATAACCAATTCTTTTATCGTTATTCATAGTTGGTGCTGTTAATGTAAATAAACTTGCATAACCATTTAAATGTTCGCGAAATAATTTATATTGTTTTTCATTTAATGCTTTTAACATACGTGGACATGTATAACGTTCTTCATTTGCTTGTTGATCATTTGTAAATGAAATTGAAACATTAATTGGTAAATGTGTTAAAGGATCAAATTTAATTTCTGAATAAAATTGTTCGGAATGAAGATAAACTGTATTTCCATCAACTCGTAAAGTTTTTAATTGACAATATTCAGCAGATAATTCTAATTGTTCATTGATTTGATTGATTGTTGTTGTTGATGAAGAATTAATATCATACATATGATGGAGAAGTTTATCGTAACATATACGAATAAGTTGTTGATTTGAATGACCATCTTGTTGTTGTTGTTGTTGTTGTTGATTTGGAGCAAATGATAAACGTTGTAATTCATTCCATGCTGGTGGCTGAGATAAATAAAGACGTTCCATTGATACATTACTCAACATAATTATCGATGATGTTGCCATTTTTATTATCTTAAACAAAATTAAAATCGAAATAAAAGAATTTTTTGTTTTCTTAAATCAAATTTAATAATAAAAAAAAAAAAGGAAAGAATTTATCTGTACACTAATCGAAGAAAATAGACAAATATAAATAACAAAAAAAAAGTGAATCTGTATTTTTGTAGCTTGTTTCAAATAAATTACTAGTTTTATAATGCAACTTTAAGGATAATAATAACAGCGACGATAATTGCAATGATTAGAAAAATTGCCAGAAGCCAACAAAGTTTTTTACGATATTTTTTCTAAAACGAAAAATTTCTGATCATTAAATTCAATATAGAATTGATTTTACTTGATGTCTTGATGCACTTGTCAATTGGCCATTACCAGCAATTATATGATCATTGGCTGCAGTTACATTTTGCTCAATATTAGCAATTATTGGAGATTGTTCAGAAACAATAGCACCGATATCACGCATGATATGATTGATTTCAATAATATCACTCTTGAATAAAAAAAAATAATTAATTATCTTTAAAGTTCGAATATTTCTTGAATTCTTGTAAAAAATTTCCTAAATCAATTCATTCTTAGCGCTTCCAGATCAGACTTTTTAAAATTTATATGTAAAATAGTTGATTTGTTTATATAAGTTTATGATGACACAGCTTTTTTCTAGAACTACGTCGTTATATAGTATATATTTAGATTATGATTCATACAAAAAAATGTGATATATAGGGGATATCAAATTTAAAAGAATGACGATTGTAATTAAAGAAAACTAGTTTTACTAATATTTGAATAACTACCCGAGTAAAAGAATATTATTAACTAGTTTGCCATCAGAAACGGATATCTCTTCAATTAGAAGTTTCAGTATCTTACCTGTACGGTTTGTACTTGTTCTTCTATTGTAAACTGTTCTTCGTTCTGTGAAATTAATAAAGTATTGTTCATTTTCATCTGTTGTCTAAATATTCAAATATAAAAAAAAAAACCATTTTTCCCTATCCTATTTACTGTAATTGTAGCCGTTGTTGAATATCATCGTCAGTCAAATTCTATATAAAATAAAATAAATAATTCCAATCTATCATTTTTGTTCTTTTCTATTACCCCATCGCCAAAATCGACTAATGTATCAGTACTTGGATTTTTAAATTGTTGACGTTTCTTACTAACATTCTATATTTATATAAGAAAAATATTAATCAAGAGAAAAATAAATAATATTTACTGTAATAACATCTTCGTATTTTTTTAATGCAGTAAACATAGCAGTTTTTACTTTTGTCACCATATCTAAATCGCTCTAGAAGAATTCAATTAAAAATATTTCAACAGCAATTAATGAAATAAGCTTACTCTAGATAATTCATTTTTTCTTTTAGTCATTACATCAGCTAATTCTTTTAATATAGTTTTAGTTTCACTTGCAAGAACATGAAGACGTCGTTCATCATCATCTCTATGAAAATAGAAAAAAGAATAAAAATGTTCAACTTTAATCAGATAATATCTATACAATCTTGTGCGAATTTCCGGTGTATCTGATGTAGTACCAAGTATACGTGCTTTCTCATTTAAATTTTTAACTAAAGATAGATAGAAAAAAAAAAGGTAAATTTTTATATTTGTCGATAGTTGTTTTTTCTGTATACCTTGTGTTTCAATTGCTTGTGCATGTTTAGTCCATGTATCGACTAGTTCATGAAAATGTGTATATGCTAAATGTAAGATATAAAAAATAATAACTTATATGATAACAAAAATATATTTACGCTCTGCTTGATATGAACGCATTATCTCTGAGATGAAGTCAGAATTGAAAAAAGGAAAAAATGTAAAACTTGACCCTTCTCCTCCTTATTTTTTTTTTCTTTTTCTGTCATAACATGACTCATTATTTTTCCAATGATATATATTTATGTATAGATGGCGTTGCATGCCGTGAAGACAAAGTACAAATTAAGAACTGTTTAAAATAAATAAGTAATATCATATTATAAATTCATTTTAAAAGATATTTGTTTGGTCTCTTAAACTTATCTTAGTAGATATAAGTATTATTCTTTTAGATATTTGTTCAAATTCTATGTTATAGCCACGTACTAACGATTTATAGAATATCAGAGAGTACTATAGTATCTAAAGATTTCTATGATCTTAATGTATTATAATTTGAATAATTAATCAAAAGATACCATAGTTCTCTTTCTGTCGAATGAAGAAAGATCTAGATTTGAGATCTTTTTTTCTTGAATAGGACTTCCATATGACTTGATAGTATAAGTAACATTATACAAAGTGAAGTTGTTTTACAAAACTTTACTAATTTATTTCTTGATAGAGATTACATATAATATTATTAATTTAACATTATTTTGTTCAATTTATCTGCTGTCTATATACTTAAATATCAATTTAATTACAAACATAGAGTTATAGATAATAACTAAATTAACTCATCAAGGCAGGTCAAAATGTCCTAAACATTATTGTAACTGATTATGCTTTTATTTTATATTTTCTATATTGATATTTGTTTATGGCTTAATTCAAATACTTTAAACCTTTTTCAATTTAAAAACATATAAAATATTTGTAATATTTCGTGAAAAAGAAAATTCGTCATCTATACAAAGTATAAGAGTTCAAATTCCGAAACTACACTTTTTGTTCTTGTGAAGGTAATAAAAAACACAAAAAAAAAGTTTACATAAGATAAGATAAGAAAAGAATACTTCTCAAAATTATTCACACATACTTGTATGTGATATGTCAACATGCTACTTCATCACCTAAACTATATGTGTCATCAGAGTTAAGACATAGCCAGATACGTTCTATAATGGTAGATGTCTCATTATCTGTATAATATACATAATAAATTAATGAACTTGATTTTATGTTTTGTCAATCATTATAATAATTATTACATAGAAAAGAGAAAATAATTGATCGATTTCATCATATATATGCATAATCTCATTAATTGAATTGTTAATTTTTTTTCAACATATTCATTTTCCTTAACTGAAAGTATGTTGCTATTGAAAAGAGTTGTTTCAAGTATGATCTAAATAATTATAAGATTTGTCCATTGTTAAAGAATATTAATTAGGCCATCTATCGAAGTTTTCTTTTTATTTTACATTGGCTATATTCTATAACGAATGCCATATAGATAAATCATTCGTTTGTCTGCTAAAGATTTAACAGAGTGAATCTAGTCATTCTTTAAATTGTTTTAAATAGATACATGTCAGCGGCAATTAGTGAAGGCGTTGGAAAAGTTCGTCGACCGGAACTTTCACATAAAATTGACATTGAAGTTAGTGTTAATGATGCTATATTACTTGCGTCTGATGAGGGTGTCTTAACAGCACTTGACGATCGGTACATATATATATACATACATATACAAACTATCATATCACACATAGTCTTTTTTGATTTTATTTAGAACGTTACGTATATGGTTACGACGACAATCAGGAAAATATTGGCCATCTGTTTGTTATACATTAGAAAGTAATAGATTGTAGAAATTTTTCATAATAAAGTATGTAGAGAGAAATCATTTTATTGATTTTAGGTGCACCATCAGCACTCTATTATCATGAAGCATCACGTCGTTTATTCTGTGGATGTGATTCTGGTCTTCTTCATGTAAAATTTTCAATTATTTATGCTATGTTTTTATTTAATAATATTGAAATTCTAGGAATTTTCTGTTGCTGAAGATTATAATAAAATTACATTAGTATGTACTTATTTAGGCCATCAAACTCGTATACATGCCGTCTATTTTTCACCTATTAATGACTTATTATTAAGTGTATGTCGTGAAAAAAAATTTAATTGGTATTCAACAAAATCATCCGATGAAAATCATCAATATATACTTGGAAGTTATACATTAGCATCATGGGGTATGTCAATAACAATGGATGAATTATCTCGACAATGTTTTGTTGGTGATTCAAATGGAACAATTTATTTTCTTAAACTCGATGCTGATAATAAATATCAATCACATACAACCTTGAAAGGTCATACAGGTTAGAAAAGAAATTTAATTATACAAACGTTTTTTTAGTAATTAAATTTTCTTTTTAAAAAGGAAGTGTTCAAAATTTATTATGGGATCCTGATGCTGCTTGGTTATTTTCGGGTAGTTTTGATACATCAGTTGTAGTCTGGGATGTTGGAGCAAATCAAGGTCTTGCTGTTGAATTAAATGGTCATTCCGATCGTCTTGTTGGAATATCATATGATAAGTCATGTAAAATTTTACTAACATGTTCAGCTGATGGTCATATTGGTGTATGGCCAATGAATGTTAAACGTAATGAAACACCAAAATGGGTTGAAAGTGATTCTTGTCAGATATGTCATTTACCATTTTTTTGGAATATACATGCTATGTGGGTACAAAAACAGATTGGATTAAGACAGGTATGATAAAGAATATAGAAGAAATTAGTAAGTTTTACTTTTTTTTTGATAGCATCATTGTCGAAAATGTGGTCATGCTGTTTGTGATAAATGTTCACAAACACGTACAGCTCTTCCATTATTGGGTTATGAAACGGTTCAACGTGTTTGTAATGATTGTGTACGCACATTAAGAAATGATGAGTAAGTTTATTGTTTGATATTTAATAAGAAAAAGAAAATGTTTTTTTTTCTAAATCTAGAACAATACCACTTGCTTCATTTTATGATGCACGTCAAGGTACTATTAAAATGGATTATAATCAAGTGAAAAAAATTATGATGACTATTGGAACTGATCGAACAATCAAAGTAAGACCTGTTTTTATTCCTTCTAAGAATAAATTTTGAATAAAAAACTAATAATTATTATGTAAATCAGAAAGATCATGATTTATTGTAATAGAATAAATAAGTATGAGATTATAATTCAAGAGAATAAACATCTTTTGAACCTCTATATTAACAAGTAACGCTGGTTCGAGGACTCACTTAGTTCTTTTTCGTAGAAATGTATCCTCTTCACATTTATTTACTGGAAAAATAATTGAAAACCGTGAAAAATCGGTTTTCGATGTTTTTTTGACCCCGCGAACAGACAAGCAAGCAAACAATTAATTGTTACTGGACTCTTCTCTACGAGAAAGAGAATATATTAATATACGCAAATATCGAAGACAAATTTATACACATATTTAATAGTATAATAATCTAAAAAGAAACAATATTGAATACAAAATTTAAAATTGGACTCAATTGATTAGTAGTTGCATTTTCTTTTTATATTCATTGCATACACACGCATACATTCAATTGTTATTCAAGAACTTGCTTTATCAAGATGAATAATAAGATGACCCAGAGCAAATATTTATATGTGTATATTTATATACATATATATATAAGCACGATGAACAGAATGAGAATGTGCTAGGAAAGCAGATCTGATGTGAAGATGAAAGATAAAATATGTGCGAAGTTGCACAAAAATTAGGCGTTGAATGTCCTTATAGAATGATGATATAAGAAGTATAGATAATAGTAATAATAATAATAATGGAAAGAAATCACAGGAGAAAAGAAAATCGATGAGATCATAATACACATGATAGCATGACAATACATTGAAAATGATGAACTCATAACTTAAAGTTGTAATTTATATGATTAGAATGTTGTAACAAATATATCTGAAGTCACTGACTTGTGAAATGAGAATTGAAATATTTGTACTTATGATTACAAAAGAATTAAATAAAAATATAAAACAATTATTATTCAAGATTTAGACATTTTTTCTTGTACAAAAATGTTTTTGATTACTCTAATGAAAATATTTTATTTACAAATCTGTTTTTTAGATTTGGGATATGTCGTCAGTTGTGTGAAAAATCAATAAAAAAATTTTGTTTTATATTTTCATTCTATTATCAATCTTTCCAGTAGATTGCACATCGTCGTTACTTTTTTTTCTTCGCAAATATATATATACATATATTTATTTATTTTTTGTCATTTACTTTTGATTGATTTATTTGTTGTCATTACTTTTTTTTTTCTTCTACAAAACTGTTGTACTGTAATCAAAAATAAACTCATTATTCTATGTACATGTATTCGAAAACAATCGAGAAAAAAACAAAATTTCTAACATTCGTTTTTATAGATGAATTTTAAAAGAGAAAATATTGAATTTTTAGGTAAAAATAATGTTTTATTACGTGGTTGGTTATATTCGCTATTGGTTCCGTTAAATCATAGTGCTATTATAATGACACATGGATTTTCAGCTATTAAAGAAATGGATCTCGATGATTATGCACAAATATTTTGTCGCGATGGAAATTTTTATGTTCTAATTTATGATCATCAAACATTTGGTTCAAGCGATGGACAAGCAAGACATGATATTAATCCATACCAACAAATTATTTAGAAAATAAATTAATTCAACCAATATCAATTGGTATATGGGGTACATCATATTCTGGTGGACATGTATTTGTAGTTGGTTCACGTGAGAAACAAAGAATTAAATGTATCGTTTCACAAGTACCAACAATAAGTGGAAAGAAAAATTTAACACGACGTCCTCATTGGCAAAAAATTCTTTTAGAAGATAAAGATTGTTTATTTAATAATAAAGAATATATTCCAATTACAAATCAAACAAACGAAACAAGTGATCTATCTAATGATTTCTATCATTTTTTCATAGGAAAATATCCATTTATTCAATGGTCTAATCAAATGTCGCGTCGTTCTACACATTTCTATAGTGAATATGAACTATGGGAATCTTTAAAAGATCTCTCTCCTATACCATTATTAATGATTATTGTTAAAAATGATAAAATTACATCAACTGAAGATCAGATTGATGCCTATGAAAATCAAGTATTAGAACCTAAACGTTTGGTATTAGTTGATGGTGGACATTTTACTATTTATGATACGGAACAAGAATCTTTTCATATAGCCGTTAAAGAATCACTTGATTGGTTTAGAAAATATTTAAAATAATTTTTTTCTTTTTCTCTTTCAGATAAAATAAGAATTCAATGGACCAACAAAATCATTTGGGAAAAGTTTTAGTTACAGCATTATATGCTTTTAAAGCACAAAATACAGATGAAGTAAATCAAATGTTTTTAATTAATTATCTTATTGATATCAATAAAATTTGACCTTTAGAAGAACTTAGAGACATTAAATCTTGTGTGAATATTTTCTTTACATCATATCAGATAAAAGGGAAATAGATAGAGACATTGTTGCTGATAGATTGATTCCATTACTCTATTTATCTAATATATAAATAAAGGAAAATATCTTCTTCGACTTTTTTTTTTAGTTATCATTTGCTAAGAGTGATGTTATTATTATAACACAGGCTCCAACTGATGGCGGCTGGTGGGAAGGCACATTAGATGGAAATACGGGTTGGTTTCCATCGAATTATGTTGAACAAATTGTACAAAAAATAGGTATTTACATAAAAAAATTAATTAATACCAATATGCACGTGTGTTGAAGGTTGTTTTTTAAGTGTACTATCAATCGACTTTGTCACTTTGATTACTGTTACAAATAAATACAACTAATATCGCTGATGTCTGTCGTCAGACAACTAACAGGAGGATATAGTAAATGAGGAAGAAAAAAAGAAGGACAACAACGACGACTTCTGTTTCTTTTACTCGTTCTTATATATATATATATATATATATTCGATAGAACGCTTTCTCATCATAGTCTTCATTCTTCTTCTTCTCCTTCGCTAATCATAACGTCAGTAGTAGTGGTTATTACTTAGTTATTATTATCATCAATAGTTACTCTTTCTACTTCAATGAGATCCACTAGTTGTGTATCATGTCGAATATTTGGCTGTAAAACACGTATGTAGATATGATTTATAGAAAAATGTCGATTAAGAATTTGAAAGCATTTTATCTTATTATTCATGGAAGATTTAGTTTTGTATATACGAATAAGGCCATAAAGTATATAACTAAAAGATATAATCATTGATCAATGTCCAGACATAATAATATAAACATATTTTTGTAATTAGAAAAAAAGATGAACGTTTTTTTTTGGTTCTTCCAAAATTATTTACAGTTTGTCTTCTTTTTTTTTATTTAGATTCAACACCATCGACACAAAGTTCATCTTCACAACAATGTGCTGAAATGAGAATTCATCGAGAAACAGTTAGTTAAATAAAACAAAATTCATTTTCGAGTAGTTTTTTATTCAAATACTTGATCATAAAGATAAAAAGTTTTGTCTACGACATTGACATCAAGATCATTAATCAAAAACGGCACTGTTTTTAAATAGAGCTATTTTTTTTTGATCTATTAGTGAATTACATAATAGTAGGGAAAAAAGTTTATCAAGAGTAAAGGTTGATGTATACATCAAAGTAATTATCGATAGATCCATAAATCAACACGGAATATGATTATAATGATGACAACTCTAAACAATAACTTTTATTGTTAATGTTTTGTCAGTACAATTTTAGAAGAATTATAATTTGTTATTACGAAAAGAAAAGAAAAGAATTATACAGATGATAGCAATATTACATAAGTGTTAACTTATAATATGATTAAATAGTTGTACACTCTCATTTATATATATTTCCACTGACCTTTATATTGACATTCTAACTTTCAATTACAGTTGAACGAATTGTTCATATAGACAGCAGAACTGTAATCTCGATATTGTTTATATATTATTAGATTCTTGAAGCATTGCTTGAAGGTGAACAACGTTATGTGACTGAATTAGAAGAGTTTATTTCGAAAACAATTCAACCATTGGCTCTTGCTCTATCAACGTAAACCATTAATTATATATAATTTTATTTTTTATTTCATTTGAAATATTTTCACAGATCAGGACAAACACATCTTTACTTGGATGTACATTGTCTTGATGAATTAGTTAAATTTCATCGCCATTTATCACATATTTTACGTGATACACTAAAGTAAATATATATAAAATTGTTTATTTTTTTGAATTATTTATATTTATAAAATCAATTAAGAACACAACATCGTGTTGGTGGAGTATTTCTTCAATTAGCACCAAGTTTAAAATCAATCTTTGAAGCATATTGTTATCAACATGCTAAAACACTTTTTTTACTCAATCATAATAAGTAAATATTACTTCTTTTCTTTTTTGTAATATATCTATTTTAAAATTTATAATAGAGATCGAATATTAACAACTCTAGCAAAAATTGATCCATCAAATGATACTAATCAATCATATATACAATTAATTAAAAATCTATCGTTACCATTAAATCGTTTAGAAAAATATGCGAATCTACTTAAAGAATATTTACATAATCTTGAAGTAAAATTTCGATAATTGATTTTATTTATATGATGTTTTCAATTTTTTTTTTCGAAAAGGAATTTCATATTGATCGTGGTGATGCACAACGAGCAGCAGAATATTATGCTGAATTAGCTGTAAATAGAATGATAAAAATCTATTTTTTCAATAGCCGCAAGTTTGTTTTTATTATTTAGTGTTTGGGTGCGGAATGGCGTAAACGGAAAGAATGGGAATTGGATATTATTCATAGTACTATTCATGGACTTGGTTCGGAAGTAAGACGATTTTTTTATCTTAATTGATATTTGCAGACTTATTACTTCCAGATTCTCGATACAGATGTTTTTCGATGGAAGACTCTCGTTTGTAAAACACAGATTTTGACTTTTGGGCAAAAATCCATCGAGATCGAATCTTTGTTATAGAATTAAGAAACGTCTTGTTTAGCATGACGGTTCTTGATTAATTCTTATAGTTTCGATGTAGGCAATAGATGGATAGAATAGTAAAAAGTTGACAAAATCTAGTTAGATTTACTGCGTATTAATGAATAATATTCGATTATAGAAGAAAGAATATATATGACTTCATGCTTCTACAACTACTAGACTTTATAGTAAACCAAAATACATAAGATGTACATAAGATTCTATTGAATTTCAGTTAGACAAATAATAACAAAAAAATAATTTCACAGCTGTATGAAAAATCGATCATATTTATAAAAACAAATACGAAAGAAATCTAATCTCATTAAGTAGACATAACTATACTAGATTATTCTTGTAAATATTATTTGAAATCAATAATTATTCATTTATTATCAATATTCTTTAGTTTCAATAATATTATTATTTTTCAAAAAATTTCAAAAGAAAAAAAAAATTAATTACATTTTTATCTATTATTATAATTATAAATCGATACATTTTCTTCTATCGAACAAATATACTCATCTGATATTAATATATATTATTGACCTAGAATTATAATTATTTATATCTAAACCCTTAAATGTATAATAACTGTTAATTGTCCTCGTAAACAAATACCATACAAACAGCGACATACACACACACATATATATATATATATGTACTTGTACATAAAGATATCATGTGCCATTCGTACTTGAATGTCATGCTAGAATCTTTTATCTCTTCTGTCAGAAAAGAATCTTATCTAACTCTCAAGATCAATAAAGTCTAAAGTGATAGATAAAGAAAAATAAGAATCTGGAAAAAAAGAAGTTTAACAAATATCGATTAGTCAAGTCTATCTGAAAAGCAAAAGAAAATCTTTATTTATTTATTTATTAGTCTTTAAATTCATTTGGTGATGCAGTTTGTCTTAGTCCTGTTAATATACTCTCGGAGAATCTTGGACAAAATGCACTTGAACGTATTGCTATTCTTTATCCATCAACACTTTTTCTTCTTTCAACAATAACATCATCAACTGCTCAACAAGAATATCAAATTGAGGTTTATTATATAAAACAAATTTAGATTTTCGATTTATTATTTTTTATTTCTAGAATCGTTTTGTATTAAATCAAATAACTATTAGTAAAATTCTTGATGATAATATTTTAGGCAAACGTGCTTTAAAAATCAGCGGTATGAATAAGAAATAAATTTCTAAAGATAAGATAAGATAATTAAATCTTTAGCTCCTTCGAATCAATCAATGATTATTACATTTCCAAGTCCAGTTGAATATCAAGAATGGTGTGAAAAATTTTGTACATTATTATCACCAAAATCACCTCAATCTCATCATCATCTTAATGCACCTTATACACCTCAATTAACTTCAAAAGTAATATAGAAAAGATGATTTTTATGTTTCTTATAAAACTTTTATTTAGTCGGTATCATCATTACCTAATACATCAATAAAATCATCACCAATGAGTACTCATAATATGTCTTTGAAGACTCCTGCTCAATCACCAATGCCAAAAAATAATTTACCACCTCCGGCATGGTCGAAAGGTTGTCTTCGACCACATTCACCATTAAGACCACGTCAACAAGGTACTATTATTGGTCATTCGTCAACAACAACACTCGGAACAACTTCAATGGGTTCACCAATATTATCACATGGAAGTGGAATTGGTATTAATGAATCATCAACAAATCCAAATGAAACTGGATCAAATCGAACACTTCGACGTTTTATGACAATGAAAAAATCTAAAGCAAATGAATTTCTTAAACGAGGTTTACCAAACATCTTTCTTTTTCTAAAAAATAACATTCTTTTTTTCTATATATTTTATTAGTCGAAACAAGTGAAGGTGATTCACTGTTACTATCAGTTATTGAAGCATATTGTATATCAAGTAATAATAGTGGCACTGCTATTGCTGGCTTAAATACTTTGATTGCTAAAGCACGACATTCAATATCAGCCACTGGTATGCTTTATATCAATTCTCAAGGATATATCTGATTGATAAAGTTGCTGTTTGAATTCTTCTGAGAATAATCTTCTTTTTTTTTGTTTATAGGAACTACTACTGGTGGTAATCTTGAACAAGCACTACCATTAACTACCGGACAACAAAATATATCTTCAGATCAATCAAACATTCCACAATTTCCTGTTCAATCATCGAATATATCAACTACTGATATGTAATTTTATCATATCTCGTTTTTTTTTCTTGTTCTTCAATTAAGTTTATACTATTTTTTTAGTGAACGTCGTGCAATGTTCGATATGATGAATGAACTTCGTTCAGGATTTAAATTACTTCAACATGAACTTGAAGAAGAAAGACGAGCACGTAGACAATTGGAAAGTCAGATACAACGATTAATTATTGCAACAGCTGGAAAATAAGAAAATATATATCTTCTCAATACCTGTTTCTCTTTTCTATTTTTTTTTTCGTATAGCTCAGGTTATGTCACATATATAATTTTGTATATATTTACATATATATATCACAATTGTTCTTGTCTTCCATTTCTATTTATAAATAATAAAATCCAAATCTTCAGCGCCAATAATTTTTATTTTTGTTTTGTACTTCTCTATTCATATCTAATATTCTAATTTCAATTAAGTTTTTTTTTTCTTTAAAAATCTCAAATATTAAATATGCTTTCACAAAAATCAGAAAGTGTTAAAGTCTTAATACGTTGTCGTCCATTTAATCAAAAAGAAATTGTCAATCATTCAATAAAATGTATTGATATTCAACAATTAAATAATAAAAATCATCAATGTAGTATTAAATTAATTAGTCCGAAAAGATATCGACGACGAATATCTCGATTATTTCGTTTTGATGCGATCTATGATGAAAATCAACGAACAGAACATATATTTCAAGATTTTATACAATCATTAGTATGTGATACAATATTACATGGATATTCCGGTACTGTTTTTGCTTATGGACAGACTGGATCTGGTAGTACATCGTAGATTTTAAGATTTATTGTTATTATTTTCTTTTGTCTATTAAATATACAGGAAAATCATGGACAATGACAGGTTGTCCATGTCATTCTGAATATGGATTAATTTCAAATGCAATTGATCATGTATTTAATCTTGTACAAAATCAAGTCAATTTTGAACAAGAATATATTATTAAATGTGCTTATCTTGAAAGTAATGTTTTAGTTTGAATTATTTTTAAAAATAAAAATGTAATTTAATATTATACAAGTTTATAATGAAGAATTACATGATTTACTTTTACCTCGTACATCATCAAAATCATATTCACGTCTTGAATTACGTGAAAATCCTCGTTCATCAGGTGTACATATAACTAATTTAACATGGAAAAATGTTTCTTCGATTGACGAATGTTTAAAATTTAAACGATTAGGTGATTTAGCTCGAACAATGGGTTCAACACAAATGAATCGAGATTCATCAAGATCACATACAATGTTTTCTCTTTCTATTCAATATCAAAATCATAATCAAACAAATATTTTTCGTCAAGGAAAATTAAATTTTGTTGATCTTGGTAATTATTTACTTTGTTCGCGTTTTCTTTCTGAAATCATTGAAATATATCTTTAGCTGGTAGTGAACGTCAAATAAAAACTGGTGCTAGTGGTCAACAATTACTTGAATCAGCAAAAATAAATCTATCTCTATCAGCATTAAATAAAGTTATATCATCATTAGTACATACGAATACAACACATATACCATATCGTGATTCGAAATTAACACGTCTTTTACAAGATAGTATTGGTGGTACTACTAAAACAATTATGATTGCATGTATATCACCATCTGAAGATAATTATGATGAAACATTATGTACACTTCGGTAAAATTAAATTTTACATATAGAAATTTAGTGGTAGTGTACGAAAGGAGAATATTATTTTCTCGAACTATAATCTTGTCTCAATTGAAAATATCGAATTTGAAAACTCTGCACCAGCAAACGCCATCCAGATAATTGAGTGTACGATAATTATACTTGTCACAAACTAATTCCTGTCAGTCTGCTTGTCTTAGCAAAATATTTTAAATTCATTTATCGAGAGAGAACTCATTGAGTTAATTTTTGTTTGCAGTGTTTTATCCAGATTCCTTTTTTCCAGTGGGCGTCATCCACTCAACCCACCAGCTAGATAAAAGACTGTTTATTTGTATTATTTACTTCATTTTCAGTTATGCATCTCGAACAAAAAATATTCGTAATACACCAATTATTAATGAAAATTCATCCTATGTACTTCTTCAACAATATGCTGAAGAAATTCAACGATTACGAGCTATTATTAATTCTTCAAATAGACATATGCATTCTTTATCACATTCAATGATATTAGATGATCAACATTCAATAAAAACAATTTGTGATCATCAGATATCATCTGAAAATTCACCTATACTAAAGTAAATCATTATAGAAAGTTAACCTTTTTAAACTTATTGTTTATATTATATAGATGTCAACGTACAGTAAGCTGTCAGACTATGTCAATTAGTACGGATACTGTTATTTCTTCAACACAAACAACATATGACCGAAATAATGATCAAGATTATAAACAAATTATCTTATTTTTTGATGAAAATCAACATAGTTATCAATTACTTGCTTGGCATTGCTGTCAATTTACTTCGAAAACTAATCAACAATTAATAATTCTTGTTAAAGAAAATAAAAATGAAAATCCATGGTTAGGTACATTGATAACAACAATAGAAAATAATCAATTATTAATATGGAAAAATAATCTAAATCATCGTCAACATCAATTATATTTATCTGAACAAATTGATTCTCTCATTACTCATTTTAAAATACAAAAAACAATTGATTCAATAGTAAGTACATATATATATTGAGATACCAATAAAACGATAACTCATAGAAATTTCTTTAGTCTTTATTATCTAATCATTCATTATTTATCTATTCTTCATCCAATTTTATTACTATTAAAAGTACTTTTTCTTCTTCCTCTTATTCAAATCTATCTATTAATAATCATTTTATCACACTAAAAGAAAATAATGGTGTTATATATTATCTTTCGGATATATTATATTCATTATCATCCTATGAATTATTAGTTTTTATGTTTGATCAATACAATCATTATCAACTTCATCATATACAATTCAATGAAAACCTTCTATTTGAAAATACAGAACAAATAGAAGTCGAACATTGTTGTTGCTTAACAAATGAAAATGAATCAATAAAAACAAAACTTATTTCTTCATCGCATTTCTTATCATTTATAAATATGTCGTGTGAAATTGAAATTGAAAACGATGTCAATAAGTCAAATTGGCATTTTATCGACTTAGATAATAATCCTACACATAGATATACCAATTAAAAAAATGTACCCATAATATAATCCTACACTTTCAATTTATCTAAGGATTAAATTTCAAACATGTGTTGTTTATTCCCATAAACAAAATTTGGAAATAAATAGGTGATGATTTTTTTACTTATCTGCTATATTTTTATTATCAACTAAAATGAAGCTTTGTATCGTCGCTACTCTTGTTGTTCTTCTCTCCGGTAATATAAAATATGATATTTTCGAAAGTTTTATATTAATAATTTTAGTTTCGGCTTATGCCGCTAAACCACTCTTACTTGGTTCATTATGTTTAAATCAAGTAAACTGTTTTGTTAATCCATGTCGAGTATGTTAAACGATTCGCTTTATTTTTAATAAACTATTTTTTTGTTTTGAATATTTCATAGGTTTCACGATGTGCTGCACATCCTACGGCTGTCTGCACGTAAGTACCGAAATAAAAATATTCAATAAAAAAAGTTATTTTTGATTTTACTAGTGCAAATTATTGTGGTGGTTGCAATGCTGACTGGCATGTTGATGGTGAACAAGTTGATTGTATGTATTAATTATATGTATATATACATATAGATGTATATCATTGATTAAATAGGTTCGGCTCCAGTTGCAGAAGTTGCTAGAGCTGTCGGAAGTATGTTGAAAAAATTTTGATATAAAAATTAAATGAATTGAAAAATTATTTAGAACCATGTGTAATGGTTAATTGTTTTATGGATCCATGTGGTTTAGCTACTTGCGCTAAACACCCTGGAGCTAAATGCCGGTATGTTACTATAAAATTCTTTTGTTTCTCTTTCTTTCTTTAGAAATATGTTATTAAATTTTCTTTTTTTTGCTTAGAGCCAATTATTGCGGTGGTTGCAATGCTGTTTTTTATAACGATGCTCAACAACGTGTTCTATGCAACTAAAATTGTTTTTTTTTGCTTATTTACAAAACAGACGACAATAAAAAGAAAAGAAAAGAAATAAAATAAAAATTTAACATAAAGTACCATGGATACAAGATAATGATGTTGGATATGAGTCACATGAATTTTCTAAATTCATATAAATATGTTCAGATGGAGAAGATGTTGGATAGAAATAACTTTCAACTTCACGATCACATAATAAATCATCGAGAGAATCAACTGTATATTGATGATTAGGTACTCGAGAATTCGATTGTTTCTGTAATGAAATATGATTAGGAACTTGCGATAACATAAGTACAGCAGCTACTGAATGTCGTTGCTGAAGTGGAGTTGGTTGTTGTTGCTGTTGGCTAAGAAGTGTTAAACCGTACGAATTATTTAATAGATCTTCATTTGGTGTTTTTGTTGAATTTGAATGAAAAAAATATTTTTTTGTCGAAACATGTTTTGATGATGGAGCATGATTTTCAATTTTATTATTTGATGATGAGGGAGAAAATTGATAAACACCTTGTAAAGATTTTTCTTGTTGTTTTATTGGAAGATTTTCTTTATTTGATTTTTGTCTATTTGTTGTATCAGCAACTGATCGTCGACGTGAAAAATCAATTGTACGACGACGATTCGATTTCGAAGATTGACTCTCAGTTTTTCGCGGTGTTGTTGGTGATGGTGTCATTCTTTCCGTCATTCCTTTTGTAAGAATCGATGAAGCAAATGATGATGATGGAGAAATCGAATGTTGTACTTGTTGTTCGATGATAGGTCGAGTTATTCGTGTTACTAATGATGAACTTCGTTTAGGTGGTTTGATATTCGTTGGAGTTTTTTTCATGACGACAGTAATTGCTAAAACATACACAGATGCACCTTGAATGTGAATATTTACTTTGGAAGTGCTGCCACTACCTCTTACGTTTTTCTTCTTTTTTTTTTTTTTTTTTACTTTTTTTCTTATTTCTATAGATTATTGATGTTTGTAATATTCAAATAAGGGCAAAGTAATAGGTAAAGTAGAAATGGTATTTTAGTATATGTAAAGAATTTTGTATACAAATCTGTCACATACGTAATATTGTATGACAACATGAGAACAAAAAAGAAAAGAAGAAAGATTGAAGGTATTATAGAGTATTTTATTGTATCTAAGCAAACAATTTTTATTCTGTTGCTACAACACATTGAATATAAGGAATTGGAAATTCAATATAAAGAATGATACAATAGAAAAAAAAGCTCGATCTAAGAGAGTAAGAGTAACATTTAATTAAAAGCAGGAATATAATACTTAAAAATCAAGTAGTAGTAGGTTTTTCTATATATTTATTATATGAATAGATAAGCTTTCCTTTTATGAGCAGAGAAGTAAAGAAAAACTAAGGATTTAATTTTTATGACTTACGTTTAATAGAATTTCTTATTGTTAATAAACTGACGTTTTTCAACCAGCACCGCCGCGACCCTTAATACAATTGTGATTTTATGAATACGATACATTTTTCGTTTCATCTTGCTTTCTCTCCTACGTCTCTATTACTTTGCGTTCTTTATCCATCTTCTTTTTTTTAAGTAGACGCATTCGCTTTGCTTCGTCTCATTTTCTCTTTCTCTTAACATTCATACAGCAGTCAAGCAACAAATATATGTATGTCATAGTGTACACCATCATCAACACTTAAGATATGAGTCAATTCTTTTTTTGCGTCGAATTATAATCAAGAGAAAAAAGAATCGAATGAAAGCCAAAGCAAGATATTCTATATGATTATCAAGTATTTCTTTTCTTTTTTTCACTTAAAACGTAGTTAAGAGGAGAAAAAAGAAAGAAACGTAATAGAATTTATTCTACCTTTATTGTCGATTTCCGCAGTTGATGATGATGTTGATAGTTGTTGACTTCCATCGATAAATGACAAACTATTAATATTGACTTGCTCATTTTGCGTCATTTTTTCTGTATGATCAAGCCATGCAGAAATTTTTTCAAAATTTGTTCTTGGTTGTTGAATTGGTGAATCATGATAGTAAGTAAATGGTAATGAAATCGTATTATTTGTTACTAATGATGATGATGCTGGTAGTGTCAGTGGTGGTGGTGGAATCACATCATAGATGGCTGCTTGTTGATGATATTGACGAAGAATATTTGTCGATGATATTTGCCTTGAGTTTGTTGATCTCATTGTTTTCGAATTAATAATAGGTTTTGTTTTTGATGGTACAAGAAGATTTTTCAGCTTGGTTAAAAGATTATGAAGACCTTGTAACACACAATGAGAAAGAAAACATGTTTATCATAAGCTAAAACCAACATAGCGGGGAGTGAAAGACAATATATACCATGTTTATATTGAAAACAAAAAATTCTGACCAATCATGTCAACTAAAAGGCAAATTAGCTCAATAGTAATCTATAGGTCCTTTTCTGCTTTGTTAGAGACTAGAATAATAGATAGATACAGTAATCCAATGATAAGATAGATAATAAATATGCGGAAAATGTCAATGACAGTAGCAAACTATCGAAATAGCTTTAGTACAGATAAGTTTTTCTTTTTTCCACGTGCGTTTTTGTCCTTCTTTATTCTTACCCTTTGATTTGGTCTTATGCTGTTGCTTTCGGGCAATTAATACTGATGATTTTTTCGGGGACAGATTTATTGTAGTTGATACAGACGAGCCACCTGTTGAATAACCACTTGAAGTTGTAACTGTTGTATCAGGCGATAAAGTACCTAAAATTGGCTGTTTAAACATATTGGTAATTTTTGATGCCTGTTGTAATGAATGATGCTGTTGTTGTTGTTGGCGTTGGCGTTGGTTTGATAGCATGATATTATTATAAAAATTCAATTAGATCTACAATGATGAATAATATCTTATTGAAAGAGTATGTTTGTGTCTATAACACTCAACATTTTTTAGATCTAATTCAAATAGACAAAGTAATGAAGAGACAAGATACAAGCTGAATAATTAATAAGCTGTAGGAGAAAAAAAAATAGTGATGTGTAATAGACAATGTCACATTCAAAAATTGACAAATGACAATGATGAATTTATACACAGCTTGTCGTCTCTCTATATTTTTTTCCTCTTATATCTTTATCACTTGATACCACTACTACAACACTCATACATTTATATATATATATGTGTGTGTTTATATGTGTGCATCATTTTTCAATTTTCCATATGTATATATACAAATGTATAGATGATTACACGAGTTTGCATCTATAGACAAGTAAACTCTTTCAATATTTCGTTGTTCATTCATACTTACATTTAACGCTCATAATTGGCGTCTGGCGATTGTCATCATAAACAAAACGAAGGGAACAAATACTTAAATATAAAGTACAATTTATTTTACTCATATACTCGTGTTACGGTACTAACGATTTGTCTTAATCATTATTCGATGTCATCACATGTTATTTCTCCTAATCATGTATAATACAAATATTATATGCTCAAGTTGCAATTCAACGGAAGTAAACATCTATAATGTAAAGAAGGATAGTATATGTAAGCGCACATTTATCGAGGTCACTGGAGACGATTCCGACATCGTCATTTTTTCGCTCGATCAAACTCAATTTGTTGTCCAGCACGCAAATGAATGTTAGTACATAGAAGATAGTATAAGCGGAAAAAAACGATCGCTAACACAAAGTCTATTTTTCTATTACTCTAACTTCTAGTCGTAAGAGTAGAAATGAATAGAATGAACGAGATGATTTTTTTTACTTTGTCTCTGGCTTTTCTCTCCTCTTCGTCTCCCTCTTCTTCTTTCTAATATATAGACATGGAAAAAAAAAGAAAGCTGTTAATGACCTGAAGCCATTTGCCTATGTCTAGTGCTTGACTAACTCTACTTCTGTTATAATTACAATATGAACACACTCACACACACACACACGCATATACAAAAGAAAAGAGAAAAGAAACTAAGGACAACAAAAAAAAAAGTCCACTAACAGGAAATGAGCTATGGCGCAAGTATCAGATTATAAATTGTTTAGAAAAAGAAGGTGCTTTTCAATAAAATCTCATATTGATAATATTAGACAGAGTTTTTTTTATGAAACTTTTTAGCTGAATAAGTCGTCACTTGGTTGATTTAGAACATTTTATGACTTATGACCGCTTCTGTATATAGGAAAAAAGAAAAACTTATATATATATTCTCTCATGAGATAGAATAAGAAATGTTTATAGAAATAAGAGATGATAACAGATGAAAGTGTAGAATATACAACTGATGAATGTACATGTGATAGAAATATATTTCCGAGTTATTTTTATTTGTACATAAAAGTTTTTCTAAGATAAATAGCTATCAAGTTCGTCTTCTATCAACGACAAATGAATCTTATTTCTACTATAAAACAACTTGAATTCTTTTTATGTTCATTCTAATCATTAATTTGATTATTGACTTAATAATACAAACGACTATATATATATATACATCATTTCAGGATACTTATATAAAATTACTGATGGTGAATAGCGAAACAATAATCAGAAGCGACAAAATCATTGATTTTGATGATTCGAAAAACTATCGGAATAAAAGATCAGATTAGATTATATTAAAAATAAAATATACTAATCTAGAAAAATCGTCTTACTTATAAGATGCTGTTCTTTTTCTTTCTTAATCAGGATCAAAAAAGAAAAAGGTAAAATCATTTCATATATATATATTTAATAAACGTCTAATCTTTCATTTTCTTCAAACAATCAACATGAAATTGAGTCGTCTATATAAAATATGATTGACTATTTCTACTATCGATTTTCTATTGTAATGAGTTAATATTAGTAATAAAAAAAAGCGTTTTTTTCTTACATACCAGCAAGTATTAACAACACATTTAAGACTAAATATTTTAATTGCGAATCATGTCAAGTATTGTTATTTCTAATAACAAACATGAAGATTAGATTCAGAAACAAAGATTAGTTTTTTTTTCTTCTTAATTATATTTTCTATCTTGATTCTCAAGAGATGAAAACAGAATCAGAAAAAAAATGTTTTATACGAGAATGTTGTTATTGTTCAAGACATTATCACATTATTTCAAACATGTCAAAACGAATAGACGAAGAATGACAATCCGTTAGGCCTTTTTTCTTCTTCTTTGTATCTGTTAATAACAAGGACTATTATCTTATATTCATGGGAATATCAAAAGAAAATTTTGGAGAAAAAATGAATGGAATTTAAATAAAAAGAAATAACTTAACGTTCTTTTTTCAATATGCGTAAAAATATCTACATTCACAGACAAAATTTATCTCGATCATAGAATAGTTACTGATTGAAAAGCTTACTGCTTCATTAAACCATCATAAATGAAGTGATTCCGTCTGTATATAATAAAACTAAGCTGTCAAGTACACAATATATAACTAGTGAAGTTATATATATATAAAAATATTGGCTGAAAAGAATATGAAATAAAATAACTCTCCGCCTCCCCTCTAAGAACGTCTTCCGTTTCATATAAAAGCACTATTTTTGATGTTGTTGCGTGATGCAAGTTGGGGGGTCTTCTATACCGAAAATGGGTATAGGTTACTCAATATTGACAATAGTAGTTGATCCACATTTGTAAATTCTCAACTCACTTATTGTGACCTACTAAACTTCATTGTTTACAGATCATTTTCTTCCAATGTAAAAATAATATTAGATGAAATTTAGTTATTGTTTGATGTAATATAATAGCTTAACGTATAGCTAAACGTTTATACATTGTCTGGACAATCATACAGACCCTAACTAATTTGTTTGTATATTCATATATATATGTTTGACATCAGACCATATTTTAACTTGTTAGATATGCATTTGTAAAGCGTAGTAGATTACATTCGATATTTCAATAAATCGATTTTGATCAATATTGTTACTGAAATACAATAGTGAGATGAATATAGATAAAAATAGATTTTGTTTTGTGATATATTTCTTCTTTAGAATTTCTATAGAAAGGAAAAGAATAATATACGAACAATAAAAAAATGGAATAAATATAAATCAAATAAGCCTAATTTTGTTTTTTGCTGTTTTTTTTATTATTGCGATTAATCCTCTATACACACGTCTACACATCCATTAGACAAATAATAACTCTACATATTTATTATTCCTATTTTTTTATGATCTCAAATTCATATGATATTCTAACTACTCTCTTTTACAGGTAATAATATGAGATGAAATGAATAATCGTCATAATTTCAAAAATTTTATTATGAGAAATAAATCTTCTTTTTTTACTATTTTTATATATCATGTTCGTCCATGTAAAACTTTCACTTTGTACGATAACAACATCTGTCTATTTTGATTAATGTACAAAAGAATAACATAATTAACAATCATTGTTTATGTAATACAAAGACAATTACAATAGAAATACACTATAGTTTATATAACATAACGACACATTAGATGAAATAATGAACCATGTAGAAATATTCATAAAGTAACATAGACTTTCTAGACAGTATAATATCATGTTAATGAATCTTTTTAAGCACATTGACACATATTTCATTAATAGTTTCTAAATGAATTCACAAAACAAGGTCATAATTCTTTTTTCTTGAATGAAACTGATTATATCATCAATAAAATTAAACAAAAGGTACTTTCTAACATAAATTCGAAAAATCAAAGTTGCATGAATTGAACTATTAAGTTCTGTACGAGGATTGATATGAATGTAAAGTAAATTTATTACTTACTTCATACTCAGTTTATCCGATTACCTCCTACAACAACATCAATAATTCTACTAGAAATTAAATCTACGTCAGCGACAACTTCAAAACGACGTTGATATTGATCATTTGTATTTTTAAGACAGAAAAAAAAGAAAAGTTTGATAAATATTTGCTTTGTTGAATAACACGATAGGGATGAAAGACAGTTGTAAAAACTTAGGTATCATTTTAAATCATATCAATGTTCATCAAAACAAGACAAAAATAATTCTAGTATATATTATGAATAAGTTTTAACTTAAATATGAAATCTCACAGTAAAAACTAGCATCATTAAACTAACTATTAAGAAATAGTTAGGAATTAATATTGTTCCAATATAATTATAAATCAACTTTCTAACGCTCATCAGAACTCTCCTAATAAATCACATTCAAAGTATTTCCGGATCTTATATTCGAAGATAGAAATTATAGAAACTGAATAGTTTTAGTTATATACAAATATTGAATTATCAGTCATTGCTAGAACTTCATCTTACCATTGTGTTTGTGATTGAAACAATAATATTGTATGCTTATTGATTTATTTTCGAATAGATGTTATATAGTAAGATGCTCATTTATATTCGAATTCAAACCAGAAATCTATCTCCGGACGTAGACATAATCCAAACCCAAACTCCCAAACGGTTTGAATTTGAGTTTGGGTTATGTCTAGAGTCTCTGGATCTTCGTTAAATCAATTTATAGCAGATAACCAAAGTTTTTTGTTAAAAGTGATAATATTTAATTTATGAATCAAGAGTTTAGTGTTATAAAATTAGAATTTATTTACATTTGTTTTAAATATTTCACAGCCTTTGGTATAGATATAAACAAATATTTTCATATGATTTATTCTTGTATTTATGTTCATAGTATCTTGCATATAATTTTCTGCCATTAATTCTCGAACTATAAATATTTATCGATATTTCGGTTGTATGTTTATTTAACAGCAAGAAAATGAATGTTTTTATTGCTAACTTCAAATAGAAAAAAATAATATTTATATAAGTAGTGACAAAAATGCACATCAGTTCT